TAGAAATACATTGCCTGGCCGGGATTTCATTGCGCAAATAGGTCAGAGCCTTCCATTGGATAATAACTGCAGTGATTAATGTTTCATATACTATGTGCCCAAAAAATGAGGTCAGCTGCCGTCCTGAATATACTGACTGACCAGGTTTTTCCATCAATGGATGTTTCTTCCCTGATGGCATATTCCGAGATGGCAATGTCGGGATTCATCGGGCTCAGATTGTGAGAGAGTGGTTCAGGGAGCATGAGACATCATTGTCACACATGGATTGGCCACCACAGAGTCCAGACCTTAACCCCATTGGGAATCTTTGGGATGTGCTGGAGAAGACTTTACACAGTGCTCCGACTCTCCCATCATCACTACAAGATCTTGGTGAAGAATGAATGCGACTCTGGAGGGTGACATTGCAGAAGATTATCGAAACGATGCCAAGGTGAATGTGTGCCGTAATCAGAGCTAAAGGAGGCCCAATGAAATATTAGTGTGTGACTTTTTGGCCAGCCAGTGTGTATAAGGGGGGTATAGCTGTGTGCAGGTTAAGCCAGATATTTCAGGGCTACCAACACTCCCAACTCCATCCAAGACCAGAGAAAGTTTTGGCTTCAGATGCACTTTAAAGGACGTCTGTATCCAGCACAGTTTTCCTTCATTGAATCCCCATTTTTTTTTTTTTTTGCCAAGCAGGTATGAGCGCGCTGACATTTTTGTATTTTATTTCTCTGTGAAAACATCATTATACATTGATTGGAGCGGTTGCTGTGTTTGTTGGATTCGGTGCGGGGACACACTGGAGGTCTTCAGCTGCCATTGTGCTGCACTGGGACATTTTTGGCTTGTGGAGTACGGGTCACCTGTAGTAATGAATAGTGATGGGCTCGGGCGTGTTCGCAGCTCCACGCGCCGAGCCCGCCAGGAAGCTGACAGCGCCAATCGCAGGCACTGAGACATTTCCCGATCCCTGCAGCTGCGGACTGGGATAATGTCTCAGTACCTGTGATTGGCGCTGTCAGCTACCTGGCCGGCTCGGCATGTGGAGCTGCAAACATGCCCGAGCCCATCACTAAGTTTTGAAGGCCGCTCAGTGAGAATCACTAGAAAGGAGAGGGAGGCAAGTATTGGATTATGTGCGTTGCACTCAGGGGGACTGGTTAACCCCTTTGCCGCCAGCTGTACACATCTGTGGCAGCACATGGTTGGCCTTAGGCTAGGTTCAGATGTGGGCGATCCCGGGACTGCACAATTGCACACAGCGATTGCCTCGTTGCCCCATTGATTTCAATGGGGTTATATCAACACAGCAATCGCTAAAAAAAGGTATAAGAACCTTTTTTGCGACGCGCTTTTTTTTTTTGCACCGGTGGCATTGCGGCAGCAAACCGCACGATCTGCCCGGTGTGCCATTATAAAATAATGGCAGCGCGATCAGCAGTGAGGTTTTAAGCACAATCACGGATCGGCCGGGTGTGAACCAGGCCTTAAAGGAGAACTATGAGGTGAGTGCTTTTCACTCACCTCATAGTTCTAGCCGACCTGTGACAATGAGACTGTCACAGGTCAGCTCAGTAGATCGGGAGGTGAGCGAACACATACCTGCGTTCGCTCACCTCTCGATCCTGTCACGGCTCTCTGCCGTGACAGGGAAGGGGCTGGATTCCCCCCTCCCCGCTGACTGGCGGAATGGACGGGGGAGGGGCGGGTACAGCTAGCGCTGCCTCTAGATAGGCAGAGCCAGCTGTCAATCACACAGCTGGACGGATCCAGACATAATTGTCGGGATCCACTTCAGCTGCGGCGTCTCAGTAAAAGGAGCAGCAGCTCACGGTATACTGAGCCTAGGGTGACGGGAGGACGCTAGTTTGTGTCCTCCCATTACCCGGAGAACTATGGGGAAAAGCCCTGACCCCATAGTTCTCCTTTAAAGTTGTGCTGCCACATATCTGTGTACCGCTTTTGTGCTGGGATCTGTCATGCGCCCCTAGCACTATGAATGCGCTTTTACCGACAGCTCACGGCCATTTAGCAACAATTGGTAGCTGGTAGCACAAGCTCCACATCCAATCACATGCTGGGGAAGCCCAAGCACTGCTCAGTAACCAGATGACAGGGCACCGGCCTTATGATTCTCTTAAAGGGGCGCGGGGGGGTGAGTCTGGGGGCTGTCGGAAAGGGGTTAAAGGACAAGTGTAGTAACAGTACAGTTGTGCTTTACCTGCAGCAGATAGACCACAGAAGCAGAAGAACAGTCACTTGATCTCGTATCAACTACCACCTAGAGATGGAAATGCTGAGCACAGAAATGACATTGTGTTGCAGAATCCGGGACACAGATACCAAACAAAAATAGTTTTAATTCTCAAAAGAAGAAAACAAAACACAATATACAGATTCTATAAAGAGAAAACTGAACAATCATATAGGACCCGTGCTAACAGGGTCACGCATTTCATTAAAGCCCAACTTTACATCTGCCGTGCATCTCACAACATCTGCCCAATGACGCATGTACAGAGAGCGAGGAGGAGTGTACAAATCAAAGGAAATCATAAAACAAAGCCAATGAAATGATTACATGTAGGAGCTTTATGTGGCTGTAGAGGCTTCTTAAAATACTTTAAAGGCCCGGTGCCGGAAATGGCCGCGATCTGTGTTGACCCTAATAAACAGGATGCATCGGCGGACTCTGATTGGCTGCTAAGGGTATTGTTACCTTTCAGTCGAGGCGTCATGCTTCTTATAACTCACAGACTCCCCCCCCCACATTTAGTTTTCGTATGACTGTGAGGCACAGAAAGCTTCCCCATAAAATGGTAATGTACCCCAATATTGAGTGCCCATTACCTTAGGGCGTCTCCTATTAAAGTCGAAATACAGGGTCCGCTTACTCCTTACAGCAGCGGCTCACGTCCTTAATGCCTAGGTGAGAATGGCATCATGAAAAATATGTAATTACACATTATTACATGGGACTGGGCTCAATAAGCAAACCTTGCATTTTGATCCACGGTCCTCTTTAAAGAAAATGTTGCAAGTTACCCTCGTGGTTTAGGACCTGCTGCCTATGGCCACCCACCCTCAGCAACCTGGATCTACCTTATTCATGCATTTTGATTGGCAGAGCTAGAAGACACCTCCGGGTGCTGGACTATCAGCAATGGGAGTTGCCATTACTGTGGTCATGTGTGTAGCAGGTGCGAGTAGCTTCTCCCATTCCGGTGGTAAGCCGTCTCTATACCCAGCTGCCAGGCAGCAGAGCCCTATAGCCACCTGTCTGTCCTCAGCATGTATAGCAATACTATACTTGTATATCAATTCAATACTGAAACTCAACTTGCAGCTGATGAAACATTTGACCATTTTAACTTCAATGCCTAACAGGCCCGAAAAGGTGACATGGTGGGCGCTGCCCTTAGAATCACTGTTTGCCATTTCTAACCCGAGCTAGAGGAAAGGACCCCATCCATCTGAATTCTACATGCACTTCCACTTTGCGATTAAGCCCCAGGAGAGGGGTGCTGGGTGGAGTGTTCACATTCGTGCAGGATCAATAAAGTTGGTTACAATGACTTGGCCTGTTCAGGAAGGAACGGATCATAGAGTCTTATGTACCCGAGCTTGCCTGTTCAGGGAGGAACGGATCATAGAGTCTTATGTATCCGAGCTTGCCTGTTTAGGGAGGAACGGATCACACAATGTTATGCACCCGAGCTTGCCTGTCTAGGGAACGGATCATAGAATCTTATGTACCCGAGCTGGCCTGTTCAGGGAGGAACGGATCACAGGCTCTTATGTACCCGAGCTTGCCTGTTTAGGGAACGGATCACAGAATCTTATGTACGCGAGCTTGCCTGTTCAGGGAGGAACGGATCACAGAATCTTATGTACGCGAGCTTGCCTGTTCAGGGAGGAACGGATCACAGAATCTTATGGACCCGAGCTTGCCTGTCTAGGGAACGGATCGCAGACTCTTATGCACCCGAGCTGGCCTGTTTAGGGAACGGATCGCAGAATCTTATGCACCCGCAGCTGTGATGGTTACAGCGGACGACCTCAGAGCGGTACCGCGATTCCTCTTTCGTTATTTTCGTAAAATCAAATATCCGGAAGTTACAGGACACAACAGCGGCTTCCATACCGGCTATGATACGCTATGCAATGAGAGTGAGCAACGTTCACAAGCCTTACTTTAATAAATTATAATGATTCTGGAGCATAAACTCTATTATACGGACAGGGCGTTC